AGGCTTGGTAAAAACTCCATTTCATTTGTACTGATGTAGCCAATAGTAACACTTTATGATCAAGGAATTCTGTTCCATCCAGTAACATAACAAGTCCCCTCAGCATGGCAGTGTTCCTCTCATAACCCGGTATAGCAGTACCCATCCAGGGTTATCAAGAATTAAATTCAGTTGTTAGTCCATTACTCCAGCCAGGCTCCTATATTCCCATCAGCCTACTGAACACAGACTAAGCTCTACCCAGAGTTTATAAAGCATCCTACCAGGCAGGATGTCAACTCACCTCACTACCTGGGAGGACTTAAGAATAGTTAAAGGGGCAGTAAATTAACCAATGCCTACAGAAAACTACAGGAGGGGGTGGATACAGGACTAGTCATCTTGTACAAGGAAAAGAGCAGAAGTAAATGGTCTTTATTACAAGAAGCCTCTGCTCAGATGTAAAGTTTCACACTGGATTACTGCACAGATCGGGAAGAAATACACATAGTAAACCAGGATCCATAAAAGAATACACATGACGCTTGTATTTAGACAATATTTCCTTATCCGAGTTCAGCTTTCATACATTTTCAAAGATAGATTTTTGTGCAATGGCTCAGAAATGTTCTGAAAAGAATCTATCACCTCCCCAATTGCATTATTTACACTCGGTGAATCATTTGGTGAGTCAGCATTAACATTTGGAGTGATGAATGAGAGATGTATGATCTTTTGATCCTCTGGTCTAATATGTCCAAGTCTTTTTATTAAATCAAAATACCTTAGAAACAACCCAAATTTACTTATATACATGGCTTCTTTGTATCTATACTAATTAAAGATCTTTAATCCTGTGATGGGGATTAAACTCTTTTCATGAATTGGATAACTTGTGATAACAACACCAATAAAATATAAGGAAATCCAATAAACCACAAATTATTCCAAAAAATGTGTAACTCGTAGATTGGTTGCAGCTGCAATTAAGGGCACTGACCCTCACAAGTATACAATACATAAATATAAGAGTGCTGCCCTGTGCAATCTTCTAATAATTAGAAATCAAATCAAATATACAATTATATCTCAATAAAGTCCTTTGTGACTTTGTGGAAAAATAGTATTATCTCCCAAATTCTGCATGAGTACTATCCATGAAAATCATGCAATTCATGTGTGGTGCTCTCCGCCAGTAGTAATCCCACACTCTCACCATCTTCTGTGGACTCTTATAATTAAACAAGGGTCTAACTCGCTTAGGTGGAACAAATCCACGGTTCAGCTGGGTCTTGTAGTCATTCTTCACCCAGCTGCATTTCCCACCATATGTTGTCTCAATGAGGTGATTATGAAGGTAGGTGCTCATATGTAAGGAATGGAGGAAGGGGGCCACATAGTGTAATTCCATTTATTTAAAACCAGAATAAAAAAATGTATTGCATTACCATTAATCCAATAATAACAAGCATAAAACGCCGAACCAGGAAGTAACGCATAATCGTGTGCTCTACTGACCGGATATGACGTCACCACGGTCCGCACCTGATGTGTTTGGGCCCTCCCACTTCAGAGGTCAATGTGACGGGCGCGGCGTCAGACCCCCAGCCCTTCTCACCAACTTGTGACCAAAGGACTAGCCAATCTAAAACCACGCTGTCAGGTGCAGAACAATGCAACGCTCAGCTGCACCCTGCACAAAGATGTTCCAGCTCACTGGACCACAATCTATGTGCCGCAGCCTGAGAGCAATTGTTACTGGGTCAGGTTAATTACCCAATTAACCCTTCACACTGCCACCACCGCCTTTTTGTACGGAGAAGGAGGAAACTCGTCAATCTTAGCAGTAACACTATGATGTTTGAATAAGCGTCTGTATACACACTGTCACCACAGGCAGATGTATGCAGAAGTTTAAAACACACAGTAGCACTCTTCAGAGACAGGGATTCTTAGTTTGCATTAAAGAGCTTTAGAAACAGTTCAACACTTTTCAGAAAATAGGATTTATTACTAAAAAGGTCAAAATGGTGCAATAAAAATATTTACAGAAAAAGATGTAGCCAATATAAATATATATATATATATATATATATATATATATATATATATATATATATATATATAAATACAGAGAGCAATAACACAGCCGAGAGATAACAGAAAGACATTTAGAGAGGTAAAATACTTGCCAGGGTACTTGGTTTAATCAGATTCAAGGGTCCTGAGCAAAAATGTACCGTTTCTCCCAAAGTTGGTTCCTGATGTTAAAAGGGAGATCTCTTCATCTTACTTCTCCAGGCCTGACAGCCTATTTTGTATTTCCCCAGCAGGGGGTGTCTCTGAAGCCAAGGGCCAATTGCCTCATTTGGGGAGGGGGGGTCTAGATGGAGACCCAAGCTAGGACCAAAATCCCTCAGAAGTTATACCATGGTCAATAACCTTCCATGGGTACATGTAATATCCTATCCACTGGTAGGATAATATGCAGAATGATATTCTGAATGCCCAGACATCACATATGACATATCTGGCTGTGACGGTTAAAGAGATATCGCTTTCTGCTCTCAGGTAGGCCTAATCTATGGGTGTAAGGTATCAGGTGACTTGTATTAAAATGACCTCTCTGAATATATGTTTTGTTTTATTGTATGTATTTCCTACGAGAAGTTATGAAAGTGTATGAAAAAGTGGTTTCCAAATTAGATATATGTTTTACTGCTATGCCAGAATGCTTTCAAGTCCAGTGACTGGTGGGTTTATAGCTTTACAATCAGCTCCGAGCAAGGGTCTGCCAGACACTATGGCACCAGCTAATTGGGTTTACAACCATGAAGGGTATCCAGCTGTGCCCAATGCACTCCTGAACTCAGCCACACCAGACCACCTGCCACTCAACAGAAAGGGAGGGGGGCTGATTTGGAGTGAGAATGACACAAGACGGAGGATCTTTAGCAAAATGGATGTTCGCGCCCATATTTGTACGTACAATTGCTACAGTATAATATGCAGAATGATATTCTGAATGCCCAGACATCACATATGACATATCTGGCTGTGACGGTTAAAGAGATATCGCTTTCTGCTCTCAGGTAGGCATAATCTATGGGTGTAAGGTATCAGGTGACTTGTATTAAAATGACCTCTCTGAATATATGTTTTATTTTATTGTATGTATTTCCTACGAGAAGTTATGAAAGTGTATGAAAAAGTGGTTTCCAAATAAGATATATGTTTTACTGCTATGCCAGAATGCTTTCAAGTCCAGTGACTGGTGGGTTTATAGCTTTACGATCAGCTCCGAGCAAGGGTCTGCCAGACACTATGGCACCAGCTAATTGGGTTTACAACCATGAAGGGTATCCAGCTGTGCCCAATGCACTCCTGAACTCAGCCACACCAGACCACCTGCCACTCAACAGAAAGGGAGGGGGGCTGATTTGGAGTGAGAATGACACAAGACGGAGGATCTTTAGCAAAATGGATGTTCGCGCCCATATTTGTACGTACAATTGCTACAGTCAAGACCAGTGGTAATAAGCAGACACATTTATACATCTTACAAACCATACCTACTACACCCATCTTGTTGACTGAGGCCGGATATGATCTAAAATTAGATGTATTACCACAGCCATCTTAATACTTTCAAGGGTGTACTCAGCTATAATTCCAAAACCCCATCTGTTTCACCCATCTCATTAACTAAGACTGAATATGTTATAGAGCCAGATGTATTGCAAATTAGGGCTATCTTAATACTTAAGATGTAGTTTGTATTACATCTGGCTCTATAACATATTCGGCCTTAGTTAATAAGATGGGTTCAACAGCTGGGGTTTTGGAATTATGGCCGAGTACACCCTTGAGAGTATTAAGATGGCCATAATATTACATCCAGTTTTAGATCAAATCCGGCCTCAGTAAACAAGATGGGTGTAGTAGGCATGTTTTGTAAGATGTATAAATGTGTCTGCTTATCACCCAGGTCCTGACCTCTGAATACGCCCAGTGGGAGGGGCAGCAAAACGCATCTGTTGCAGACTGTGGTGACATTATATCTGGCCGGTGGAGTGCACGAAGGTGTGTTACGTTGTGATTAGGCGTTTTATGCTTGTTATTATTATTATTTCAGGTAGTTATATAGCGCCATCAATTTATGCAGCGCTTTACATACATATATTGTACATTCAAATCAGTCCCTAACCCTCAAGGAGCGTACAATCTAAGGTCCCTAACTCACATTCATACATACACATACTAGGGCCATTTTAGACAGGAGCCAATTAACCTACCAGCATGTCTTTGACGTGTGGGAGGAAACCCGAGTACCCGGAGGAAAACACGCAGTCACAGGGAGAACATGCAAACTCCAGGCAGGTGGTGCCATGGCTGGGATTCGAATCAATGACCCTAGTACTGCCAGGTGGAAGTGCTAACCATTTAGCCACTGTGAGTGAGTGAAATAAAAATTTTTATTCTGGTTTTAAATAAATGGAATTACACTATGTGGCCCCCTTCCTCCATTCCTCACATATGAGCACCTACCTTCATAATCGCCACATTGAGACAACATTTGGTGGCAAGTGCAGCTGGGAGGAGGATGGCTACAAGACCCAGCAGAACAGGGGATTTGTTCCACCTAAGCAAGTTAGACTCTTGCTTAATTATAAGAGTCCACAGAAGTCAGTGAGTGTATGGGATCACTGGGGGGGGGAGCACAGCGATGAATTACACAATTTTCATGGATAGCACACATGCACAATTTGAGAGATAATATTATTATTGCACAAGTCACAATTGATTTTATTGAGATACAATTGAATGTTTGATTTGATTTATATTTATTAGAAGATTGCACAGGGCAGCACTCTTACATTTATCATTGTTAGAGATGAGCGAAGTATTCAAAAATTCGATTCGACTGATTCGGCGAATTCGTGGAAAAATTTCGATTCGAGTCGAATATATTCGCTGTGAATTTAACTTAAAAAAGGGTGTTTCTAGGCTTCAGAGAGACTTAATATTAGTGCAGAACACTGTACCTTTAATTTAAATGCCCTTGGAGTCTGCTGGGGAAGAGAAATAATACTGTCAGTCAGTATGACATGCAGATGAGTGCCGTCGATCTTAGAATCACCGCACACTTCACTCATTTGGGCAGTCACGGGGCCAAAACCAGAGTGTGGAGCCACAGTGTGGCGGTGGAGGCAGCAGCAATGGGAGGCCATACAGCACCCTATGACAAAAATGGAAACCACCAGCAGTGTGAGGAGACCTGAAAGTGGCACATGGCAGAGTGTGGCGATAGAGACAGCAGCAATGGGAGGCCGTACAGGGACCCATGACACACTCTGGACCTGGCAGCAGCATGAGGAGGCAGTACAGGGGCCCATGACAGATTACGGGCCTGGCAGCAGCATGAGGAGTTGGTACGGGGGCCCATGGCAGATTACGGGCCTGGCAGCAGCAATGGGAGGCCGTACAGGGACCCATGACACACTCTGGACCTGGCAGCAGCATGAGGAGGTGGTACAGGGGCGCATGACAGATTACGAGCCTGGCAGCAGCAACTTGGACAGGAGGACGTTCAGCTTCTGCACCGGGTGCGTGCTCGCAAACTGTTGTCTCTTGGAAACGGATTCCAAGAAAGACTGCTGACGGAATCCGTGAAGAGGAGTAGCAGGAGAAGGAGCATCTGAACGAGCGGAATATGCCAACAAGCGACAACAGGGGCCCATGACAGATTACGGGCCTGGCAGCAGCATGAGGAGTCGGTACGGGGGCCCATGGCAGATTAGGGGCCTGGCAGCAGCTATGGGAGGCCCGTAATCTGCCAGCACCCTATGACAAAAAATGGAACCCACCAGCAGTGTGAGGAGACCTGAAAGTGGCACATGGCATGGCAGAGTGTGGCGATGGAGACAGCAGCAATGGGAGGCTTTACAGGGACCCATGAGAGACTCTGGACCTGGCAGCAGCATGAGGAGGCGGTATAGGGGCCCATGGCAGATTAGGGGCCTGGCAGCAGCTATGGGAGGCCCGTAATCTGCCAGCACCCTATGACAAAAAATGGAACACACCAGCAGTGTGAGGACCACCTGAAAGTGGCACATGGCAGAGTGTGGCGATGGAGACAGCAGCAATGGGAGGCCGTACAGGGACCAATGAGAGACTCTGGACTTGGCAGCAGCATGAGGAGGCGGTATAGGGGCCCATGGCAGATTAGGGGCCTGGCAGCAGCTATGGGAGGCCCGTAATCTGCCAGCACCCTATGACAAAAAATGGAACACACCAGCAGTGTGAGGAACCTGAAAGTGGCACACGCTTGGGGCATGATTCATGGCGGATTTAGTCAGTTGTGTCAGGAACTGGTGGTTTGAAATCCAGACTAATCCACGCCTGATTCATTTTCACAAACGTCAGTCTCTCCACACTTTGGGTGGACAGTCGTGTCCTCCGCGGAGTTGCAATACCTCCTGCCGCACTAAACACGCGCTCCGATGCCACGCTACTGGCCGGGCATGACAGCCTTTCAAGGGCAAATTCAGCTAGTTGGGGCCAAAGGTCAAGTTTCGTTGCCCAGTAGTCAAGGGGATTGTCTACCTCGGTTGGCAGGGTGCTGTCCAAGTAGGCCTAAGCCTGTTGTTTGAGGTCCTGCTCCAGGTCCACCTGATGCTGCTGCTGCTGCTGCTGCGGCTGGTTAGTAGTTTCCTCACTGCGCTGGTGAAGAAAGCTACTCATCATCGACTGCAGACTGAGGCAGCCGCTGCTGGTGGAGCTGCCACTGCTCCTACCACCCCACCCCTCCCCTGCTGCCATGGCAGCGGAACGCGAGCGCACAGGGCCCACAGTGTCTGAGGATGGACGTTGGCGCAGACAGGCAGAGACCAGCTGACTACATAGGTGGTTTTTTATAGTACGTTATTTTGGCCTCCCTCTCAGCAGGTGTGAAAAAGGCCACCATTTTTGAACGGTAGCGAGGGTCCAACAAGGTGGACAGCCAAAAGTCATCCCTCTGTCTGATGGTTAATATTCGGCTGTCGCTACGCAAGCAAGCGAGCATGCTATGGGCCATTTGTGCCAAGGAATGCGAGGGACTCCCTGCCTCCATCTCCACAGCATACTGCCACGGTGCGTCTGGGTCCTCTGTCTCCTCTTCCTCCTCCTCTACCAGATGCTCCTGCTCCTCCACTCCTGTCCGCTGAGTGGAAAAACCACCCATTTCACTCAATAATTCCTGAGCACCAATGTCCTCCTCTACCTCCTCCTCTTCTTCCTGTCCTGCCCCCACAGGGGTCATGTGGCGTTGAGATCTGTGCGCCACGTCTACCGCACCCTGACCAGCCATTGTTAACAGCATTTGTTCCAGGACGTGCAACAGAGGAATGACGTCGTTCATCCCATAGTCCTGCCCGACTCACGAATAGCGTGGCCTCCTCAAAGGGCCTGAGCAAGCGCAGGTGTCACGCATGAGCTGCCAATGGCTGACATCTAAGTTACACAGGGAGTACCTTTATCCTTTTAACATCAGGAAATCTGTGATGGCCTTTTGCTGTTCGTAAAAGGGTCTAACATATGTAGGGTTGAATTCCACCTTGTTGCAACGTCACAGCATGAGGAGTCGGTATAGGGGCCCATGGCAGATTAGGGGCCTGGCAGCAGCTATGGGAGGCCCGTAATCTGCCAGCACCCTATGACAAAAAATTCAACACACCAGCAGTGTGAGGAGACCTGAAAGTGGCACATGGCAGAGTGTGGCGATGGAGACAGCAGCAATGGGAGGCCGTACAGGGACCCATGAGAGACTCTGGACCTGGCAGCAGCATGAGGAGGCGGTATATAGGGGCCTATGGCAGATTAGGGGCCTGGCAGCAGCTATAGGAGGCCCGTAATCTGCCAGCACCCTATGTCAAAAAAAATTCAACACACCAGCAGTGTGTGAGGAGACCTGAAAGTGGCACATGGCAGAGTGTGGCGATGGAGACAGCAGCAATGGGAGGCCGTACAGGGACCCATGACAGACTCTGGACCTGGCAGCAGCATGAGGAGGCGGTATATAGGGGCCTATGGCAGATTAGGGGCCTGGCAGCAGCTATATGGGAGGCCCGTAATCTGCCCAGCACCCTATGTCAAAAAATTCAACACACCAGCAGTGTGTGAGGACCTGAAAGTGGCACATGGCAGAGTGTGGCGATGGAGACAGCAGCAATGGGAGGCCGTACAGGGACCCATGAGAGACTCTGGACCTGGCAGCAGCATGAGGAGGCGGTATATAGGGGCCCATGGCAGATTAGGGGCCTGGCAGCAGCTATGGGAGGCCCGTAATCTGCCAGCACCCTATGTCAAAAAATTCAACACACCAGCAGTGTGTGAGGAGACCTGAAAGTGGCACATGGCAGAGTGTGGCGATGGAGACAGCAGCAATGGGAGGCCGTACAGGGACCCATGACAGACTCTGGACTTGGCAGCAGCATGAGGAGGCGGTATATAGGCCCATGGCAGATTAGGGGCCTGGCAGCAGCTATGGGAGGCCCGTAATCTGCCAGCACCCTATGTCAAAAAATTCAACACACCAGCAGTGTGAGGAGACCTGAAAGTGGCACATGGCAGAGTGTGGCGATGGAGACAGCAGCAATGGGAGGCCGTACAGGGACCCATGACAGACTCTGGACCTGGCAGCAGCATGAGGAGGCGGTATATAGGGGCCTATGGCAGATTAGGGGCCTGGCAGCAGCTATAGGAGGCCCGTAATCTGCCAGCACCCTATGTCAAAAAATTCAACACACCAGCAGTGTGTGAGGAGACCTGAAAGTGGCACATGGCAGAGTGTGGCGATGGAGACAGCAGCAATGGGAGGCCGTACAGGGACCCATGACAGACTCTGGACCTGGCAGCAGCATGAGGAGGCGGTATATAGGGGCCCTATGGCAGATTAGGGGCCTGGCAGCAGCTATGGGGAGGCCCGTAATCTGCCAGCACCCTATGTCAAAAAATTCAACACACCAGCAGTGTGTGAGGAGACCTGAAAGTGGCACATGGCAGAGTGTGGCGATGGAGACAGCAGCAATGGGAGGCCGTACAGGGACCCATGACAGACTCTGGACCTGGCAGCAGCATGAGGAGGCGGTATATAGGGGCCTATGGCAGATTAGGGGCCTGGCAGCAGCTATGGGAGGCCCGTAATCTGCCAGCACCCTATGTCAAAAAATTCAACACACCAGCAGTGTGTGAGGAGACCTGAAAGTGGCACATGGCAGAGTGTGGCGATGGAGACAGCAGCAATGGGAGGCCGTACAGGGACCCATGAGAGACTCTGGACCTGGCAGCAGCATGAGGAGGCGGTATATAGGGGCCCATGGCAGATTAGGGGCCTGGCAGCAGCTATGGGGAGGCCCGTAATCTGCCAGCACCCTATGTCAAAAAATTCAACACACACACCAGCAGTGTGTGAGGAGACCTGAAAGTGGCACATGGCAGAGTGTGGCGATGGAGACAGCAGCAATGGGAGGGCCGTACAGGGACCCATGACAGACTCTGGACCTGGCAGCAGCATGAGGAGGCGGGGTATAGGGGCCCATGGCAGATTAGGGGCCTGGCAGCAGCTATGGGAGGCCCGTAATCTGCCAGCACCCTATGTCAAAAAATTCAACACACAGCAGCAGTGTGAGGAGACCTGAAAGTGGCACATGGCAGAGTGTGGCGATGGAGACAGCAGCAATGGGAGGCCGTACAGGGACCCATGACAGACTCTGGACTTGGCAGCAGCAGCATGAGGAGGCGGTATATAGGGGGGGCCTATGGCAGATTAGGGGCCTGGCAGCAGCTATGGAGAGGCCCGTAATCTGCCAGCACCCTATGTCAAAAAATTCAACACACCAGCAGTGTGAGGAGACCTGAAAGTGGCACATGGCAGAGTGTGGCGATGGAGACAGCAGCAATGGGAGGCCGACAGGGACCCATGAGAGACTCTGGACCTGGCAGCAGCATGAGGAGGCGGTATATAGGGGGCCCATGGCAGATTAGGGGCCTGGCAGCAGCTATAGGAGGCCCGTAATCTGCCAGCACCCTATGTCAAAAAATTCAACACACCAGCAGTGTGTGAGGAGACCTGAAAGTGGCACATGGCAGAGTGTGGCGATGGAGACAGCAGCAATGGGAGGCCGTACAGGGACCCATGAGAGACTCTGGACCTGGCAGCAGCATGAGGAGAGCGGTATATAGGGGCCCATGGCAGATTAGGGGCCTGGCAGCAGCTATGGGAGGCCCGTAATCTGCCAGCACCCTATGTCAAAAAATTCAACACACCAGCAGTGTGAGGAGACCTGAAAGTGGCACATGGCAGAGTGTGGCGATGGAGACAGCAGCAATGGGAGGCCGTACAGGGACCCATGACAGACTCTGGACTTGGCAGCAGCATGAGGAGGCGGTATATAGGGGCCTAATGGCAGATTAGGGGCCTGGCAGCAGCTATGGGAGGCCCGTAATCTGCCAGCACCCTATGTCAAAAAATGGAACACACCAGCAGTGTGAGGAGACCTGAAAGTGGCACATGGCACATGGCAGAGTGTGGCGATGGAGACAGCAGCAATGGGAGGCCGTACAGGGACCCATGAGAGACTCTGGACTGGCTGGCAGCAGCATGAGGAGGCGGTATATAGGGGCCCATGGCAGATTAGGGGCCTGGCAGCAGCTATGGGAGGCCCGTAATCTGCCAGCACCCTATGTCAAAAAATCTGGAACACACCAGCAGTGTGTGAGGAGACCTCAAAGTGGCACATGTTTGAGGCATGATTCATGGCGGATTTAGTCAGTTGTGTCAGGAACTGGTGGTTTGAAATCCAGACTAATCCACGCCTGATTCATTTTCACAAACGTGAGTCTCTCCACACTTTGGGTGGACAGTCGTGTCCTCCGCGGAGTTACAATACCTCCTGCCGCACTAAACACGCGCTCCGATGCCACGCTACTGGGCGGGCATGACAGCCTTTCAAGGGCAAATTCAGC